GCAGTTCGACAAGGATCTTCCTCAGGGTGGAAAGGAACCCCCTGCAGGGCAGAAAAGAAGCCCCTGCAGGGCAGGAAAGAAACCCTGCAGGGCAGAAAAGAAACCCCTGCACGGTAGGAAACAAACCAACCCCTGCAGGGCAGAAGAGAAACCCTCGTAGGGTAAGAGCCTCCAGGGCGGAAACAACCAGGACTGCACAGGGCGGAAAAAAAACCTGCAGGGCAGAATTAAAACCCAGCCCAACTAAGTATTGCATTCGCACTGACTTCGGCTACTGTCGCAGAATCAAGTTCAGTAATAAGTTGGGTAAAGTTGATCTGCCTCGCGACGGTGCAAAGCCAGTTCATATTCTGAATTGCTAGATAAACAGTCGCACAGTCTTGGTCATGTGGGAAGAAAGTCCAAAAGCAACGTCACTTAGAAGGCTTGGCTACTAAAAGCCTGCTAACGCAGGATGCTAAAAGCCTACCCAGCACCAACAGCACTGGCAACCCAGCCAGCATAACACACTTTCAATTAGCGGTATACCTTCGCATCCGCTGTCAAACTCTAAAATTACATCATCTTCAGGCACTAAGGCATGCGGATGTTCACGCAAAGCTCCATCAACCACATCCACAGCTTTGGAGTGAGCACGCGCAACCATGTTGGCTCCAAAAGTCAACTGCCCCGCAGTTCGCCAGCTTTCCAAGCACCCTGTCTCCACCATGCGCACAGCCAGCACCAGCATCCAGCACCAGCACCCAGCACCAGCACCCAGCACAGGCACGTCTCCACCACGCGCACAGCCAGCACCAGCACCCAGCACCGGTTTCCACCACGCGTGCAGCCAACGCCTCTTGAAAGCGTGCACAGCCAGCTCATTGCTATTTGAAATAAGAACCCGATAGCTCTTGCTATCTGGGAAAAAAAACACGTTTGCTGTTGCATGTACGTTATCTAAAGCCAGTCAGCAGCCACATGCGAGCTCGCCTTTTTCTTCTCACTCAATTATGTCTAAGTATACGCGTCATTAACTTAAACTCAGCTAAGGCAAAATCCAGACATCAGGGCGTTTCAACCTTTGAGCCAATGAGTTAAACACAGTCTAGTTGAGCTGAATGACGCTTGGCAATTGAAATTGTAAAATAACAAAATTAGGAGGCACTACTAAACACACACGAAAACTGATAGGGCCAACATTAGGAAACAAACATAAAACAAAACGAAAAGAACAACTAGGACGCACAAATCCAGAAAAGCTCAAAACAAATAGCCAGGCCAGGCAAGGGCTGACTAAACAGAAGCAAGGATACCCCAGGATCACAAGCACAGAATCAAAAATCTGAAGAGGTAAGGCTGACTAAGCAATCAAAAGTAGGAAGGGTGGCCGGGGGAGGGGTAATCAGGGGGTTCGAGCGGCGAATGTTTCCTATGTCGCCTATGTCCTACATGTTTCCTATGTGTTCCTTATGTTGTCTTTGTTTTTCGTTGCTTTCCACAAAAAGCACACTTGCACCTTCAGAATAGCTAAATGATACTGGCTTTACAAGTTGCACCACCATGTCAACTTGATGCCTCATCGTTACAGTTGTATAAGTGATCAGAAAATTGACTAATCCAAAAGTTCTTTTGCTGGTCAATCCAAAAGGACACATAAGCAACACATGATAAAGAACCACCAGAGTTGATCACAGGAAAAAAGGCGATGCAGCAACCACCCCGGCCAAACCCTGTTCAAACACTGAAAAGAGCCTCGCACAATGACCCCTTCATCATCGCCAGTGAACTCATGATAGAGTTGCATCAGCCTCGCAGGCGGAAGTCGCCGGAAAAAAGGCCCTATATAGCTGAAGATTGGAGCGAGACTTCTTGAAGAGGAAATCAAGTTCCAACCGCTGTAACCCCCGAACAGCATCAGAAAATATCAGAAGTTCCTATACATCCTGTCGGCCTCACGTCACTGCAGCTGCGCCTGGAATTCATCAAGATGGTCTCCGTACAAGGGAGCAACCGGTTCTTGTCGATCTGATCTGGACTGGTGAAGTATCGACTGGGATCGTGCCACGAGACGTTGTAGTCCTGATCGAGGCACCGTCTCCGGTCCCATCCGAAGGCACGGTGCTGGCCACATCCAAAGGCAGGGTGGCATGGCTGGAGACGAATCCGCAATTCCGCCAGATGTATTTTTCCGGTCTGGGCCCAGCACATGTACATGTCATAACATGTCACGCAGCTTATGATATAATTAACATACTAATGGTCACACGTTGTGTCTTGCTTCTTGCCATAAACGTCCGGTCCCGGTGACGCGACGTGGCACAGCCGCGAAAGGCGACACCTGGTTTTCATGTTCCCACCAATGTCAATCCTTCCAGGTCCTTCCAGGTCCTTCCAGGTCCTTCCTGTACCTGTACCACCCCGTACCCGTCCTGGTCCCTTCCTACCCGTTGAGGGGGTCGAGAACACTCTCTGTTCAGCTCACGTGCAGCTGAGGAACACGATAGAAATCCAAGGAGAGACCTTCTCTTCGATGAGCCTCCTCCTGCGGACGGGGAGAGTGCAGCTCACGTGGGCACGGCCGAGGACGGCAAAAGTCTCGGTCGGTGGGTCAGGCCTCGGGCCTTCGTTGGATGCAACAGCTGCACTTGTCGCACAAGGGCACTTGAATGGGCGAATCGAGCACAGCTTGGCCATGCGAAATCATATATATATATGTGTGTGTGTGTGTGTTTTGTTTCAATAATGTTATATACTTAATTTGTTATTTGTCTGTTGAGCATGCAATTTAGCCTTCCATTCTCTAGTGATGCAGGCTGGAAACAGTCCGCTTTCGTTCAACTGTTCCAACGCATGCTAAGACTGCATCTCTTTCTCCGGTTCCAGAGTCTGGACTTGGCTCATGACTGGAACTCGTACTTCACGTCATTCTTCAGGTTTTCACATCTGGTGCCCAACGACGTGTCTCTCACCCGGTTATAGCCTGAGAGAGCCCACGACGTCAAACTGAAACAACACCGTTCATCGGGTCCTGAACCGCAGCTGCAATGAACATGGAGGCGCCACCGGTGTAACCCATGTTGCCCAGGTTCCTGGCCGCCGGCCGGCCGTCTGAACGTCCCGGGTCCAAAAACCTGCCGGTCCCCGGTCTGAAACTGTCGGTTCTACCAATGCACCAGTCGGTCTCCGCCCCCCAGGGTCTTCGCCCTCTCTTCGGTGTGAAAGGCCCGAGGTTTCTTTCACATGCACCCTTTCCGCAAAGGTCGCAACGGTCTCGTGGATGGTTCCATCTGCAGGAGGTCGTTCCAACTGGGTCAGGATCCTCAAAACAAGAGCCCCCTGTTCTCTGTCTCCGACTCCGGGGCACCGACGTCCCCCCCCGGGCCGGCCAAGAAAAGGCCGGTGCGCGTGCGTGCCCTGCCTGGGAGCTTCAGCAGGGAAGTCGTGCTGAAGCTTGTCCCAGTCCGGTTGATATCCTGTCCAACAAGTCCAACGGAGCTCGCAGACCGTCCAATCACTCGTGACACGTCGACGGTTTCCGCCCGCCCCGCCCAGGCGGGCCCCGCCGTCCGCCTGGACCGGGTCCGACATCGGTCCAAGCAGCGGTCAAACCGGCTCCGACGAGCCCGAAGCACGTCGTCCGTTCCGAAGAAACCCGCACTTCGTCGTGTCGCGGCTTTCGATGCTTCGATCGATTGGGCGCGCTTTTGGCTCGCGCGCGACACGACTCAAACGCGCGCGGAGGAACGAGAGACGGGCGGGGCGGTGGGAGGTTCGACCTAACACTCTCAGACCTCGAGACATGAGATCCAGACCAGAACCACTTGGGACCCACGACTATGGGTGACTATCGAAAATCGGGGGTGTCTATCATCCGAGGTGCTGGTGCTTCTGGTGCTTCCCAATGGTTCCGGTGAGCCCCATCTGAGCTGAAGAGAAGAGGGAAGACTCCGAAAACACCGATCTTGGGAAGAATCGAAAGGGGTCAGTTTAATATGGTTGTACACGACCAGGGGGGTATCCCATCTCAGCGCAAAAGCAAATCTGTGCCGAAGACATCTGACCTGCCTGAGGTCGTTCTTGACCTCTAAGAGTTGATAAGATTTTGGACATTGGATCTCCAATTCATGTCTTCATGGGAACATGGCAACCCTGAACCCCCGGCATGCCCCTCTGCGAGTATACAGTATACTGTATACTGTATGTCTTTTGTATGAAGGCACTGAACATCTCAGTTTCGATCCTCGTGGGGAGTGATCCCCCGACCCCGACTTGGACCATGTTCATCACTCCAGCTGCGAGCTGCGAGATGAGATTTGGTCTTTTAGCTTGAAGAATCAGAAGCTGGTGGTTCAACATCCTGTCACCTTGGACGCTACTAGGTGGAGGCCATCGCAAGTGGGCTGAAGGCCATCGCTGGCAGCAAGGACGCTTTTGGTCCGAGGCTTTCCCCAAAGTGCCGGTCCGACATCCGACGCTCCGGTCCCCGCGGCGCTTCCGTCCGTCCTGAAGTCCAGCCCTCAACGCTGACATGCGCTCGCGTGATCATCCCTTTGAAACATCCCCGGTCTGAGCTATTGGTCGGCCTCAGCAGGAACGAAGGCCTTCGCAAGAACCGTGGGCGAAAGGTCGCGATCGTGGGCGTTCAGCGGTCTCAAGTCTCAAGACCCGTCTCGATCGGCAACGAGGCGGGACGGCAGGTGGGACGGCGATCGCGCTCGGACGATGAATGAACTGGAAGAAGAACATGGTCAGCCACTGAGTCTAACTCCAAGTTCTGAGCATCCAAACACGTGAACCAAGAACCGTTCTTGTGAAAAAAGACGGCATGGAAAGGCAGGGAAGCACCTGCCAGTCTGCCAGGGTCTTGAAACCAAGTGCAGTTCACTTGTGCTTTTCTCCCATCGCCCAGCGCAGGCGATGGGATCGAAAGAATTCGACTGTGGGGAAGGCGGCTGCTCATCGGAACCGACACAACGGTTCACATGTGTCGAGTAACTCGAGAAAGGTTTCGGATTGAAGAAGCCGCAAGAAGTCTTTAACGACAAAGATAGGCTTGACGTACAAACAGCAGGTCGGTGCACAAACAGCAGGTCTTGGGTACATGAACATGGTTCTTCTGATCTTCTCTCTTGGGATGAACATGTTTCCACTTCCTTGGTGTTTATAGACAAGACACAGCCAGCTGTCGCTTTCCTTCTTTTGCCTCTTTGACGCCAGACCAACAGTTGGAGCAGTAACTGTATCATCATACGTAGACCCCTACGATCAAAACCCGGAGATCCTTAGAATTTATCTCTCATTCTCCCGTGGAAGGAGGGGAGCTGCCCTCAGATTTGTGGCTGCTTTCGGGGATGTGCTTTCAACCTTAACTGCTCTCGAAGAACACCCGTTCACCAAGCGCACCAAGCGTCTGGGCGCAACCTGCAAGAGCAAAGAAAGCGTCGTTCGTAAAGCCGCCATCCATCATCTTTTCGACATTGTAGCCCAGCTTCTCCTCGTGGACGCATGTCTATCGTGGACGCTAGCATCGGTTCTCTGCAAGAGATTGAAGACCTTCGCCCAAAAAGATCCAAACATCACCAGCCCTCACCGTTTTTCACTGCAAGAGCACTCTTACTTCATGGGATGTATGGCCTAACCAGCAGCTCATTCTGGCGGCTTTCTGGCAACGTCATTTTGGCACCCCAACCCCCCAGCCCTCTCCTGCAGCAAGATAGAGACCATCTCTGCTGTTGCATATTGGGCAGCATAGTTTACAAGGAAGATCCCGACAGGATAGGACACTCCATCGTTGCTGAGGTTTTTGCGCCTCAATCCCGAAGCCCAGCGAGATCGAAATCTTTGATCAATGCAAACGATCTGACAACCATCCATCTTTGGATGCTGGGCACCTATATATGGTGCTTCTGATGTTGGACGTTCATAGTAAGTGCAAGTTTGTGTGTGTGTGCGTGTCCTTACTTTCCTCTACAATGGCCACATGCTGTTGCTCTTGACAAAGCTCGTCTCTGCAATGGTGTAGCTGTGTTTTTGTGCAATCCACATAATGTTTGAAAGGGTGTGAGTTATTTGCATGTAAACATCATACTCCAACATCTGCATGAGATCCTGTCCTTCAAAGCATGCCCTGTGTGCATGGGTGACCTGCCTGTGGGCCACCCCAAAAGGGACTTTGCCAAGACACTCAGCTTCAGGAATGCCATCTCTAAAGCACAGCTGTGCCGCACTGAGCGGCACAAGTGCAAGTAGGAGCGGAGAAATCATGCGGGAAAGTCCGTGGCTAAATGGCCCAAAGTTTAAATATTGGTGAGCCACTGAGCCTGTCATTGCTGCGATGGTCAGGCCACCGAGTGCCACGAAGGGACACATCAAACAACCCACTGGCAGCGTACTGTGCACTTGAAAGATAAAAACTATAGGAGCTCAAGGGCTTCTACTCGAAAAATCAGATGATCGCAGTAAATGATTTAGCACTTGAAAGCTCAGACCTCGTTTCAACCAATGACCTCGTAAACGGGACTCTCACACCAAGAATGGCCCTCTGTGGCCAAGGTCTCCACACAGCCAAGATCTTGAACCGAAGAAAAAATGCCCCAACTATTTGTGACCTACGTGGATTTGGCAAAAACCATACATAGCTACTCGCATGTCTTTTAGTGTATATCAGTATGTATGTTGATCTTGCTTCACAAATACACCGAAACACTGAAACACCTGGTGGGTGGAAAGTCTCCAATTCCCGGATCCGGCCGTGGTCTCAACTCCGCCGGGGGCACTGATCGATGGTATAATCAACTGGTTTTTAGCGCATGGCACCACTTCCATGGCGCAGTAAGGAATGAATTGCTCGCCATGTCTTAGGTCCATCACCTGTCCTAACACATCATCGAATCATCAGAAATTCTCTCTCGTGGCACGCGCGCGGTCACCGCGGTCGCAGTTCCCTTGGGGCGCCAGACCCCAGCAGGCAGGCATCATTCTGGCCTCGTGGGGATGTTCGATCCTTGAGATTGGGGAATGGAAGCATGGTCCCAGACATGACTAGACACGACTAATGGATGTTACATTGACCGCTCTTCAGCCACCCCAAGGCAATGTAAATATATGTGTTAATCCCATGGAGTGTTTGGGATTCACATCCAACTCCTGGATGACAGCTCTGCTGGGATGGTCGAGATGGAGTTTCTGCGCGACAGGTTCTCTCTGCCAACGCGGCTTCTGATGCCCGATGTCCAAAACCCGGGATGGAGGGCTGAAAGCCTTGTAGGAGGTGGTGGCTGCCTGGCTGCCTGAGCCTGTCATAGGACCTCCATGAACAGAACAGAAGTGTTCAGGGCGCGACAGGCTCTGAATCAAAGCGTTGACGCTTTCCCCCTGAACACGACAGGCTCTGCTAGATAGTTGTTGCAACGCCTGGCATGTCCTGGCAGAAGGACGTCTTAGGGGATGTTTAGCTTGCCAGAGCAAAACCACTTAGTGAGGGCACGGGTTGCCGGAACCTGCTCACCACCTCCAGGTTCCCTGTCGAATTTAGGGGACATACACACTGAAACAGAGAAGAAACTACAAGTGCGTCATGGAGGTCTCCATGGTCTACATTGATTGCCCCCCAAATCAATGAACCTTGCTCTTCCCCCCTGCCAACCCTGTGGCACCTGCCAACCGCCACCGCCAGCGGCCCTCGCGCCCTGGCCCTGGCGAGTTGGGGAGTCGGACCGTTGGTCCGAACCGCCAAAAACACACAGGGCAAAAACACGTGTCTTCCTTCATTTTTCTGCTGGCTTCCTTCATTTTCTAGACAGAAAATGGATGGTGGCTTCATGTTCGGTTCGGCCAGGTGGACCGGCCAGGTGGACCGGCTGGCTGAGAACGACACATCCAAAAGCACCAATTCTCCGCCCAACGCAGGACCGGGTGCCAGTAGGCTGGACATGATCGTGTCCTGAAGTTGCCCAAGACAAGAACCTCTCCTTTCTGGTGTGTCCAGGGACATGGGAGAGATGAATGACATTCTGTGGATCTAGTGAAGTGACTGTCCTCATGTCCCAAGTCAAAAGAACCATGTAAAAACTCTGCACCATCTCCCGATCTCGGACCCCCCTCTCCTCCTAAAAAAGAAAAACATGAGGCTTCATCCCGGTGTGTCCACGGCCAACTGCTGTGCCTCAAAACTGCACTCGGCTCAGGTTCGGCAGCTCGGCGCGGTGGAGAGCGCCCGGCGCTGGCGTGGAATCGGCCGACAGGCGGCCGACAGGCGTCGGCCTAGGCAGGTGACAGATCGTCCTTGGAGCTCTGTCTTTGGATCTCCATCATCTTCATCAAAGAGTCCAGCTTATGGTCCATCTTCCTGACCAAACTTCACATGGGCCGAAACTGAAACTCATGGCTTTTGAACGGAAGAAGGAAAACGGGTGGGTCGCTTCGAAGCGGAGGTCGAACCTTCTTTGCTTCGTTGGGTGCGGCCCTTCGTCCGTGAGAATCCTTCGGTCTCGGCCCAGGTCCGTCTCCGTCGACGCGTTGCGTCTCGGTGTTTCTTCGTGTCGCTTTGTGTTTGATCGTTTTGTCCCAGCTTCTGTAGATGACTCTTGACATTCTGCACATCCCTTTTCAATTTCCTCACGTCCTTCTTGGAATCGGTGGCCAGATCCTGCAGAAGGTCACGAGTCGGGCGGTGTCCCTTTTGGCTATGCAGTGAGGCACCCCCGAAGACACAGAGCTGGTCCGAAATGGTCCGCCCATATCCATCTGATGCGTTCCGAACCGGAAATCGAACCGGATCGATCAAGTAGAACGCAATACGAACGAAGGATCTCCCATGGGCTTTGAACTGTTGTGCTGCAGATGGCTGCAGAACTTGAACCCCTTGAACTTGACCATCTCTGGATCTCTCTGGCCAAAGAAAGGCGTAGTTCTACCAACGCCTGTCGATCCACGGATGTTCCTCTGGGTGGTTTGATCGACGAAGCCCTGATGGCACCTGGGTCCAAGGTGACGCCTGTCGATCCAAGCCAAAGGCACACACCTGCTCCTGAGGCCCCACTTTCGCGACTGTCCTCCTTATCACAACAACCCTATCGAATCCTATAGACAACATAGAGCACCATCTCTCTCCAGCCCACCAGGGAGGGCACCCGACCCATGACTTCCGCGACCGCCGCCAAGCGGTGCGCCCATCCTGGATGCAAAGCTTCAGGTCGGTGCGCATGCTTCGGAGCTCGTAACTGGGAGGTGATGGACGGACCAAGACCCAAATCAAGCCTCAGATTTGGAGGCGCGGAGTGCAAACCATGGCGAGATGGTGGTCTGAATGATCCCTGCATATATACTTCATATATAGTCACTGTTGATGGTTTATTAGTATAGGACACACTGCAACACGACCGTTTGCGAAACATGCATCCATACTACTTCTGACTGGGTGGTAGGGAATGATTTTAATGGAATGACACCATGCAACAGTATTGGCCCAGTACTTAGTTTCCCGGTTCCCCATGAAGCACCAAACAGTGGAGTTTGGAGGGAAAACCGCGTCGCCCAATCAGCGACCACGCAGACTGGTCAAATTTTCTTGATCCCACCCAACCATGGTGGGACGCTCCCCCTCATGGTGAGGTGACGATCGTCACCTGGTCCAAACTCGTTATATCGCTTGTTTTGCAGGTCTTCACGGGTTTCTGAAAGTCAAAACTCTGGGCACCACCTCTAAAGTAGTCTACAATAACCATCACACAAACTGATTGTGAGCAGTTCGGCCGCCTTCTCCCGCCACCCAACACACCCCGTTGCTGCTTTGCAACACTCCGACCCACGGTGCAGCACGCCAGCAGGGTCCTGGACTCGTTCGTCTCGTTCGTTTCTCGTTTCTCTTCACCGTGGGGAGCAGCGCACCGAAAAACACACACCTGTTGGTGTGATTCCTTTCTAGTGACTATAGTGTTCTTTTCCACACTCCTGTTGGTCCTGTTTGATCCTTTCGTTGGGTATGATTCTTTACAACTATAACGCTTTTCTGATGTGGTGTGGTCCGTCGATAAAGTGGCTAAGTGGTCCAAAAGAAAACATGTGGTCCAGAATTCAAAGTTGTTCGGCTGTCCAATAAAGGCACCAAGAAATGGATCGATGGAAACAACATTCGGGGACAGGAAAAATTGGAGCTTTTGTATGAAGGGAGTCTTTTACTTATAGAGCTTGGTTGAACTTCAATATCTCTTTCCACCGTCACTTGTCTCTTCCCCTCAATACCCCTTGGACATTCTCACATGCCTTGCTTCCAAGGCGAGTCAAGGCAGTTCAAAACATCACCCAGCCACCCCCGTCGCCGTTGGCGTGGTCGATCACCCGTCCTTCGGCTGCAAGGCGCGCCGCACCCGATGCCAGCACCGAGCCGTGCGCCACCAGCGCCGTAGCCGGCCGCTGAAGCCCGGCGCAGTCGCCGGCGCCGGGCCCGGTGCCCCAGTGGCTCAGGGGGGCTCGCGCTCGTTGCCGAAGCAACCGAGGAAGGCCACGCGGTTGAGGTATTGTAAACCCTCGGGGCGAAAGAAGAGGGAAGCGCAGAGCACGAAGAGCGACAAAGAGAAGCCACCAATCAGGAAGATGGGTGCGAAAAGGAGGATCAAAAGCTTGTAGAAGAGATTGGCTTTGAAGAAGAGCTGGAAGTTCTGAGCCACCAGGAATTTCCCAGACTCGCCCAGAGCCAGGTGTAGGGGACTTACCAGTACCCGGATCCAACACTCAGGGCGACTGCTCTCATCACAACTGCGCCATGGCTGTAGCCAGCCGGCCAGGATGAACCAGGGCCTGTCCTGATGCTTCAGAAGCATCGCTGCGCGCGCCCGCGTGAAGAGCTGGGGTGCTTGGTCTTGGTAAAGCTCGTAGTTTTGCCCGAGCACTCCAATCAAGAGGTTCATCAGCAGGATGGTGATTCCAATACCCGTGAGGTAAAACACCACCTGCGTGTGTATCTGCAAGGAACTTCTGGGTGCCCAAATCATCTCAGAAATGGGTCTGTCTTTGGATTTCTTTCAAGAACTGTGTGGAACATGAAAAGCCCATGAAAGACTCCTGAGCCACTCGAAAAAAATAACCGTTTGGAACTCTCGAAGCTACGTGGTGCAAGGCACCTGGATGTAGACATATTGCTCCAAGCCCAGCTCCTGTGGCGTCGGATCCACTGGTTCCCACACCGAGCCCGACACGGAGCCCGAGCGGTGAAAGGTGGTATCCTGACCTTGGAACTCAAAGAGGTCGAAATCGCCGAACATCCCCAGCCGCAAGGTCTGCGTGATCGAGGAATACACGGGAAAGGGATCCGTGCCCCGGGCATTCAGCACGTAGTACGCGTGGGCCGAGGCGGTCAAGCACAAGAGGGCCACCAGGAAGAAGGCGAAGGTGTCGCGCAGCGCAAACATGATCGGCAGAAAGCGGGGACCCAGCCAGCGCTCGCCGCGCATGGCGAAGAGCAAGCGAAGCCAACTGAGGGAGCACAGAAGCGCCATGGAGGGACCACAGGGCAGTTCCTCCAATGCTTGGGCGCCCATGCGTGGAACGAGCGCCAGAACACCCGCACCCACGTAGATGATGTCCGGCAAGAGGTTCAGTGAAAGCTCCCGCCACATCACGGGCAGAATTTGGATGGCTTCTTTGGCGGTTGAAGCAGCTGCAGCCCACAAGGCCCATCTGGACCTGAGGGTGGAAAGGGGAGGTAGTCTGGTCTCTGCGGAAAAGCTGGAGATCACTGGAGTCCGGTAGCGTGGGTCGGATGTAGTCGGGTGTGTTTGTGTGCATTCCGACCTCCCATTAGTCAACATCTCACAAACCACTTCGAAGACCCAAGAAATAGAATGGAAGAGCCCTCACAAGCTGCTCAAGTGGTTCTTCCAAATGAAACCCTTCCCGCACGCTCTCCAGAGGGCCAGTGTGTGAAGCAGGAACAGCCACCCTGGTGAAAGCTTCAAGCCCTCAATGTCCCAAATCTTTCTCACCCAAATCTGTCCACTTCTCCTTCAAAGCACCTCTTCACTCCCTTTTCAACCGTCCAAGAAACCCGGTGAAGTTGTGACACTCATAGGACACCACGCACAAAAGCAGTGCATTGGTCACACTCAGCAGGATCTCAAGCAGGGTCGATGCACGATGCTGGAGCCATGCTGCCTCCACGATTGACTCGACTGTATCGCTCGCCAAGGTCTCCTCCGAAGCGAAAACGGGTGGAAAGGCAGCAAGAAGGAGAGAGTTTCAGAGAAGGGCGAATCCTTTTGAGGACCCGAGCTTGTCACATCAAATCCTGTGGTGCGTGCTTACTTGAGACCTTTTTGCCAAGCTATTGGCTCATGATAAAGTTTGATCAATAGATTTGCTTTTGGCACTGATCCCAACTGAGAAAGAGAGCAAACAGTCGAGAATGCTTTGGCACTGATCCCAACTGAGAAAGAGAGCAAACAGTCGAGAATGCCGCTGCCGCTCTTGAGCATACCCATTACCCCGCTCCTCATTGGCCGTTTGCGCGACCGCTTCTAGAACTCGTCGGTTGCATGCGACATCCCCACTGATAGGCAAGACTTGAAGCTTGGCTTGAACTGGTGGGGCGCGAAGCAAGTTCTGCTTTTCCAAGCTAACATAGAACTTGCTCACGGCAAAGCACTTCTCCTCCAAAACAGGTCGTGCAAAATACATGACAAGCGAGTCTAAAGCGCCCTGTCGGGCTCTAGGCACTCAACGACCCCATCCAAGGTGCCTCACAGCACTCCCAAGACGTGTGTTGGGCAGCTTTGACCTCCGTCCTCCACAGGCGGAGCGCAAACACGCGGAGCCAGAATGGGGCGAAGCTTTTCGCGCAGTCTTGCTTCCAGCCATGTGGTTTCCTTGGTGCCACCATCTTCTCCAAGTAGACCAGAAGATCTGCAGCCCAACTGGGTTTTGGACTTTCGGTTGGCCTCCCAAGTGCAACATCAAACACCAGCTATTCCAAACAGGCAAAATCTTTAAATCCTCGTAACTCGTCTGTGAACAACTTGAAATCTGAAAGGGTTGAAAGACCTAGAACGCATTCTGTGTCCTGCTTCTGTGTCCCCTGTGTCTGCTTCAATAGAATCCACAAAAACTCACTGTCTTTGGTGGAAAAAGCCACCAGTCTTGTGAAGACAGGTTTTTGAAGGAACATGCATTCCTGTCTCTCGAGGGTCAGCATTTCGATCGTCTGGTTTTCGCTTTATGGCTGGCTGGACTTGTAAAGTCAACTCTGTCGAACCCGGACTTCAGCCCGATGGCCCCGGACTTCGACTCCAAGAACCGGCTAAGAGTTCGGCCTCCTCATCGAAGAGTTCGGCATCCTGCATCAAATCTTCCACTCCTTTGGTGAACTTCTCCCCCTCCCCCAAGAGCAAGCACGGGAGCAAGGTCTCCTCAGGGAGAGGCGGCGTCAGGGGTGCGTCAGGCGCGTCGAATGACATATGAAACATGTGTCTTTTCCTTTGCTGAGCGTGGTGGAAAAGCTCCAGTCACTAGTCACTATGTCCAGCAGGAATAGAACACAAAAATGCAACCAAGGTGTCATTCATTGTCATTCCATCTTTTATCCAGCCGAGATGCTTGTGCTTTCTCTGGGTAGATTAAGCCTTCAATGAACCCCCAAGTGTCCTGGCAAACTCCACTGACGATGCACTCGGTGATGACATCCACATCCTGGCGCTCCCACGAACCCACGCACCCACGAACCTCCGAACGGGACCTCACCGAATCCTCACCCACCGAATCCTCACCGAATCCTCACCCCCGTCACCGACGGTACCGAACCCATCGACGGTTCTTCCGGTGTCTGGCGCGGAGGTTGTCCACGCTACTAGGGTGGTACTACTGGTGTCATCGAGGACCTGAAGCTCTCTGTTCGAATCATTTTCTGAAAAATGGAAAAGGCCCAAACAGGCAAAGTGAGCCTGCAAGTTCCCTGCGTTGATCCCTTTTCACGACAAGATCATGCAAGTTCTTCACAAGTTCTTCACCCCCTGCCTCCGTCCCCGAGACAACCAAACTCCAACACCGAAGTCCTTGGCCAAGAAATCCATGGCGGTGTCATCCTCATCCTCCATCTCCGCTTCGGGGTTGGCTCCTGCTCGTAGCAGCTCCTTCACAGCCTCCACGGCCTTCTGCCGATCCTCCGGGTTGCTCAAGGCTTTGGCACAGAGCTGCAGATACTCATTCTGATCCTCCTGCCAAACGTGTGGCGTTCGGACGCAAACCTCGCCAACGCGTGTGGTGACCTCCGAGTGAATCCTTCAACCTGATCGGGTGAACAACAAACATCAGTACAAACATTGACATCATTGACCAACTCCTAGCCTTTCAAAGGATCAAGTTCAGTCAAGAAGTCACCAAGCCTTTGAACCACCTCCAACTGGCCAAACCGAAAACGCGGCAGCCTCTCCTGAGTTCCATTGACTTCCAGGTCCTGGCTGGGTTCTCCCCACCAACTCCAAACCGTGAAAAGGTTGTTTGCGGTTGGACGGGGCGGTCACCGGTCGAAAAGAAAAGCTTGCTGAAAATGGTCAAGCTCTGCAGTGCTGGTGTGTCGGATCTGAGGATCATGATGGATCATGATGGGTCATGAAGGGTCATGATGGACAAGTGTGCGAGGGTTGATGAAAGGTCTTCACGCTTCAACCATCGCACCCAAGTCTTAGTCTAAACAAGTCGTCACTACCTTTGGGTCAGGAGTCACTTACGGAGAATTCTTTCGCCCCTGACCCTTGACAGCTCCGCGGCCAGGCCACCTGTAGCCTCCATAGAGCTGACAGGGCAGTCCGCATACCCCAAAACCGTCCTGCACAATCTCTTCGAGCTGCACCGTGCTGGCACCACGAAGCTTCTCCTTGGCACGGGGAGGTTGTGAGCGCTTTTTGGTTCCAGGATCGCAGTGTTTTCGTTTGTTCCTTCGTAAAAAAGAAGGAGGTGCCCAAACGAAATCATCCCTCACCGGTGTCCTCGCCTTCATTTCTTCCACCTGGATCGCTCTGCCTCTCACCAGCGCCTGTCACGCTCTCTGGCCGTCTTAGCTCGGGTCCGCTGGGGTCTCTAGCTCCACGGTGATCTCACCTCCCAAGGAAGTCCTGACGTCGTTGAAAGCTGAGACGCATGGGGAGACATGCCGCAGACACATCGGTCGCACCGTCGCTGCGCGACCAAGGACCTGGAAAGTGAGTCAAGAGGTACGGGCCTGCTTCTTGAAAGACTGTCATGAGGTGTGTTCTAGAGCTCTTTGGAGGGTGGACGGATATTGTCATTGCACATGCCATCGCTAGATTGACTGAAAACTGTTTTGGATCATTCAAAGGGTGAGGACGTTTGGAAGATGCACCCGATAGTTTCAAAGGATGAGTATCTGTTGGTTTCAGCTCTGTGACCACAAGCTGAGGCTGACATTATGGGATGACCAGCCAGAATGGTTCTCATCTCCTGAACAAAAAGCATGGCATGTCACAAAGCAACAAACAGACATAACAGTTCTTCAACGGTCTCTTCCGACCATCGTGGAATCCCTCCGAAATACATCCAATCATGGAGCCAAGAACCAGAGCCAATGATAAATTCGACTGCAGGAGATTCTCATGCGGACTGGTGAACAATGGTGCACGTCTTTACCAGGTTCATGTCCATTCTACACGCAGATGCTAGACAGTAATTATACTATGTTTCCCCACATCTTAGTGTGGGGTTCTTCTTTTCTATGTCTCATCCGCCTCCCGCCGCCCGCTTCCCGCCGCCTCCCTCCACACCGAGACAACAACACACACAGAGACAACACACACACAGAGATCACACACACAGAGATCACACACACCGAGACAACACACACAGAGATCATCCTCCCTCCACACCGAGACAACACGTACAGAGACCACACACCGAGACAACACACACAGAGAGGTCCGTCCCTCCATTGTGATTAGAGTATTCACTTGTTTGTTGACGTGCAGAATTCGTGGCAGGCGCAGCACTTTGTGAACCTCCACCTGCAGAATTCGTGGCAGGCGCAGCACTTTGTGACAACACACACCGAGACGTCACCAGAATTCGTGGCAGGCGCAGCACTTTGTGAATCTCCATGCGCAGATTTCGTGGCAGGCGCAGCACTTTGTGAACCTCCATGCGCAGATTTCGTGGCAAGCGCGGCGCTTTGTGAAGCTCGAGGTGCAGATTTCGTGCCAGGCACAGCAGTTTGTGAACCTCCATGCGCAGATTTGGTGGCAGGCACAGCACTTTGTGAACCTGCATGCGCAGATTTCGTGGCAGGCACAGCGCTTTGTGAACCTCCATGTGTAGATTTCCTGGCAGGCGCAGCGCTCATCTCACACCACTCATCTTGCACCACTCTTCTCACACCACTCATCTTGCACCACCCATCACACACCACTCATCACACACCTCACATCTCACACCGCTCATCACACACCACTCATCACACACCACTCATCTCACACCACTCATCTTACACTACTCATCACACACTACTCATCTTACCCCACTCATCTTACACCACTCATCACACACCACTCATCACACACCACTCACCAAATTCCACTCTTCTTACACCACTCATCACACACCACTCATCACAC